GGGCCGGGGATGAGCCTGCAACTGAGGTACGTGCCCTTGACCTGAATCGAACCTGCACCCTTCTATCCACTGTATCCACTGAGGCCAAACCGGCTAGGGCCAGACTTCACTTCTTTTAGGAAAAAAGCTGGATTCCCCTTCCCACAACTCAAATGAATACATTACAGCACGTTTCCATGACAACTCTCTGGGGTGGGAATTCCCATCTAAAGTAACAGAGGTGGAGGGAGCCTCCCAGGGGGGATGTGGTCTCCTGGTTCTTCCCACGGCCGGTCTGTCTGGAAGCACTGGGTGCCCCATCCTCGCTGGAACCTTACGCCTCGGCCAAGGCTGTAGATCCCGGTCGGTGAGGACGAAGCTCCCCTTCTGTGAGGGGAGAAGGGCTGTGGTGAAAGGGGAGGGGCAGGGAACCCCCTGGGAACTGCCCCCTGGAGCCCGCGGGGACCCTGCTGTGGGGTCTCCCTCCTTTGAGCTGAGGTGGGAGGCGTGGCAGCCTGCGGGTCCGGCTGCCCATCAGGCATCTGTGCTGAACCCCCGAGGGCCAATCTGGGAGACCCCAGCGTTTCAGGGGTGGTTGGCCGTCTGCTGTGCTCCCGAGGGACTGGGGGGAGGTCTCCTCCCCTGAGCAGCTGGTCCCTGGCGCCTCCCTTCTGAGCTCCTTCCACAGCCGGTAACTCGGCCTCTCCTGTCTGTCTCCCTCTTACTCCTTCCTGCTCCCTGACTGTCTGTCTACAGAGACTCCCTCCGGCTCCCTCCATAAACGAGTGGGTGCTGCTAGGACTGAAATGCCTGCGGGAGAAGCAGAAGGCTGCCAGGAGAAGGGACTGTCCAGCCAACCTCTGAGCCGGGCCCCAAGCGCCTCTCGGAGCGCTTACTGACAGGGGCTGCCCCTGGGAACCCCCTCTGCCCGGGACGGGCACGTGTGGCCTGCAGCTCAGGAGTGTCGCTCTCAAGGACCTGGGTGCTGTCCTGTCCTTTGAAATGTCCTCACCCGCCCTGGTCCTGTGGCTCCGTTCATCGGGTGTCATCCTGTGCACCAGGCGGTCGCCAGTTCAATTCCTGGTGAGACACACGCCTGGGTTGCGGGCTTGACCCCCACAGGGGTGTGAGCAGGAGGCAGCCCATCGAT